TGTGTGCTTTGAGTATTCTTTGTAGAACATTTTTAACTGTAAATCTAATAGATTTAGTACTATTCTGATTTTCTGTTTCTTCTTGTGTCAGTTTTGGTAACTTTTGTCTTTTAAGGACATCGTCCATTTCATCTAACTTTCTTGGAGCTATGTTGTTCATTATTCCCTTCTTGGAAATGTTGGTAATTTGTGTTTTTCGCTCTTTTTTTTCCCTTGATTACTCTGCCTGTGAGTTTATCTTATTGATCTTTTCAGTAATTGCTTTTCTCTGTTGTTTGTCTATTCTTTATTTCCCAGTAATTTTTATAATTTCCTTTATTAGTTTTATTTGCTATTTTTAAAAACCTCCCTTATGGTAGATGCTTATGTAATTGATTTTAAACTTTCCTTTTCTAATACTAGCAGTAAAATTATAAAAGTACTGATTCAGTTGCATCCCACTAATTCTGTTATGTTGTATTTTTATTACACAATTGAAAATATTTTCTAATCCCCCTATGTTTTCTTCTTTGACCTCTGGGTTATACAGAAAAACACTGCTTAATTTCCAAATATTTGAGGCTTTGTTAGCTATCGTATTGTTGTTAATTTCTGACTTAATTCCATCAAGATCAGATTATTTCAGTTCTTTTAAATTTATTAAGAATTGTTTTATAGCCCAGTGTATATTGTCTGTTTTGGTGACTGTCCTAGGTGCACTGGAAAATTATTTATATTATGCAGTTTTATATAGGGTTCTATAAGTGTCAACAGGCTTAATAGTATTGTTCAAGTCTTCTAAATTTTTGCTGATTTCTATCTGCTTATTCTCCCAACTATAATGTGGATTTGTCTATTTCGTCAGTTAATTTTGGCTTCATGTATTAGGTACATACAAATTTAGACTTGTGTTGTCTTGATAAATTGACCCCTTTTATCAATATAGAATGTTCCTTCTTTATCTCTGGTAATAAAGGGATCTCTATCTCATTCCCTTCTTTAGTTCTTCATCTTGACTTATATTGACATCTACTCTGTTAGATATGAATATTGCAACAAGAGTCTCTTAAGCATGGGAGAAATAACAGTATGTTGGGAGACAGCCATGTTTATCCATGAGCTGTTCATTAGAGCAAGAAGATATAGAACATTTAAGGAAGAGGTTGGGGGTATGGAGAATTTTGGTGATTATTGACCTGTAAGTTTCACAGTGGTCACAGGGAGTTGGTTGGGGAGGAATGGGAAATGGCATTTATATTAGTAGTTTTACGCTACTGTGTGGGATGAGTATCCAGGTAATAAAGAATAACCTAGGAACTTGACTAAAGTTGACTGAAATAAAGAATGTGATGGAATTATGATAATGTCTAAGGAATGTTATAATGTTAAGACCTCTAATGTTGCAGGCTGGTGGTGCTGATGGGGATGTTGCCAGGAACACACTGGGCCCTGTCTTTACCCTTGCATTTTAGAATAATATAATTAACCTTATTTTTCAGTTTAGCATGGTCAGGAAAATATATGTTGGCCAAAACACTAAGGTTTCGGTTATTTAAAGAACACAGGATTATGAATAAACTTGGATATAGTCCAAAATACAATTAGATACCATGAGGAATATATCATGGCATCTCTGAAGCTGCTTGAGAGCTGGAACCCATTTATATCTGCATTCTGAGCACCTGTCATTGGGTAGTACATATGTTAATTGCTTAAGTATTCATTCAACAAACTTTAAAATTGATTAAATTAATGTGATTCAGTGATTTCTTAATTTTCTTTTTGGCTAACAAGACATATGTAGAATGTATCTTTTATGCATCTTTCCTCCAAATATACAGAAGTGATTCAGAGAACTAGGAGATACAGGAATTACATATAGGAGTAGAAACAATAGGCATATATCCAGAAAGCAGATTCATTGCAGGTCCTATGCTCTATGTTGGCAATAAGGTGCTATTTAATATTCCAAGTCCTGATCTTTCATTTTTCTCCAAAAATGTGAGTGACATACATTTTCCTGGAAAGAAAATTTTTAGTGCTTATTTAAAATTATTTCAGATTTTTATATCATATATTTCTCTTTGGAAATATTACATATTTTGCAGGAATTTTGGAATGTGCAGAAGAATAGAAGAAATTTAAAGTACTCATAATTCCACCACCCAAAATAAGTACTACAGAAATAATTATAATACAGAATTGTAATTTGGGATATTTCTTTCTAGTTTTTCTAGTATATATGTATATTATTTCTCTTGTGTAAAATTGTGGTCATGATGTCATGTTCTGTTCACTTAACTGCACTGTGAACATTTTCTGTCACCCAATATTTCTCAACGCAATGTTTAATGATTATATAAATCATTTCATGTTTATATAGTTTATTCTTTTGCTTGACATTTGGGTACCTTGCTTGCTATCTTTACTGACGTAACTTTATTGTAAAGACTTAAAAATGTTTAATGTTTGTTATATCCAGGAGAAAGTTCTTTGTACATGTTCTCATGTATGTATATATATGTCAGATTGATTCAGCCTTAAACCCACTACTTACCAACTTTGTAACCTTGAGCAAATTAGTCCTTTTTGTATTCATATATAACATAGACGTTTTATTGCTCTTGTGAAGATTAACTAGAACAGTTTTTATAAAATTTTTAGCAAATTGCCTGGCTCACAGTAAACGTTCAAGTGACAACTAATAATATTGTTAATAACATATTACTTTGTGTACACCTGCTCCTGAAAAGCATATACAGTATCGGCATACAACATTGTTTACACAAAAACTTGCAGTACACAAATGTTAATAGCACATTATTCAAAATAGCACCAATGTGGAAACATCTCCAATGTTTACTAACTGATGAATGGATAAGCAAATGTGGTATATCCATGCAGTAGACTATTATTCAGCCACAAAAAGGAATGAGCTACTAGTACTTGGTACAACCTTTGAGAATACAGTAAGTAAAAGAAGACAGACACAAAAAGCCACATATTGTATGATTTCATTTAGGTGAAATGCCCTGAATAGGCAAATTTAGAGATTTGGTTTTATTTCTTTCATAGTAATTACTATACTTGCATAAATATTAGAAAAAAATTTTTTTGAGAATAGAAACTCACATTTGTCTCTTATTTATTAAAAGGACTAACTTCTATTCTTTGTGCCCCTAGCACCAACTGTTTGTTCCTTTGGTCTAGGCCTAGGCCTTTTTACCTTAAAAGCCTTCTTTTGAGGAGATAACTTTCATTCTAATCTCTGTCATAGCCCTTGATATCTTCTCAATGAATGAAATCCCAGGAGCTTTTGGACAACATTTTAGAAATATGCCCAGTGTGGTCAAAGGTGTACAGTGAACAAATTTTCATTTGTAATATAACGACTAATATAAAAACTTCACTTATTGGATATTAAACGAATCCTTTTAAAAGTATATAGCATTGGTTTTAAGGAGTTTCTCGTGATTTCTTTTTTTTTTTCTTTCTTTTTTTTTTAGGTGAGGCAACCCTTGGTTGACCTCACAGATTGCAAGGACCTTGTCAGCTTACAATCCCTTTTTTAAAATTTTTATACCTACAGCATAATACCATTATCTCACCTAAGAAAATTAATGGTAATTCCTTGATATCATGTAATTTTCTGATTTCTCTGGTTGACCTGGAAAGTCTTCAATAACTTCTTTAAAAAATTACTTAAACCAGAATCCAGTCCAAGATCATGCATTGTATTTGGTTGTAGTGTTTCTTTAATCTCTTTTTATCCAGAACAGTCTCTCTTCCCCAACATGAAATTTTAACCCCCATGCCATTGATTTATTTGGAAGAGTAGTCATTGTATAGAAAGACAAATTAGATAAATCTACATTCTAGATTTTTTAATTTCCTTCTAGTAGTATGTAACTTGTTCCCCTACCCTCTATACTTTTTATAAATTGGAAGGTATAAAGCTGGATTAGATTTAGGATAAATTTTTTTTGGTAAGAAAACTTGATAGATGATGCTGTATACGTTATATTGCGTTGAATCAGAAGGCACATGATATTGGTCTGTCCAACAATGAGTGATTCTAAGATCTCTTGGAAAGGTGGTGACTGCCAGATCTCTACAATGGGCAGTTATCTTTCCTTCTATAAATCAGTAATCTGCTAGATGATACTTTGGTAACCTACAAGTGACCTGCTCTGTGAGGACAGTGTTAGAAATTATTCATCTGCAACTTATCTTTTTTCATCCTTCAATTGCTTAATTTTTTTTTTTTGGAAAAGTTTTTCTTCATAAGATAAATGATAGTGGGAAAATGTCCCAATGCTCACAATACATGCAAAGAAAAATAACAACAGGATACCCATTTCCATTTTGAGTTGGTAGAAATTAAAGTTGAGGGTATAGAGTATTGTCAAGAATGTGTGAAACAAAGGAGTTTAAATAGCTGCTGGTGGGTATGTAAACTGTTATGGTATTTTTAGAGGGTACATAAGCAGTACTTATAAAAATATTTCAGTGCTTTTACTAAGAATTTCTACTGCCAGGAATTTACCTTGTGTGTATTTGTAAAATTACAGCAAGCCATGTATATAAGGATGTCTTGCAGCATTACTTTTAATAGCACAAAAAACCTTAGGAACAACAAATATTATCTTGCAGTCATAAAGAATAATGTGAGGACATGGGGTTTATCAAACTCAGATTATTCTTGTTCTCAGAATATTTCCTGGAGCATTCCGTTTTTGTTTCTTTGATGCTCTAGCTTTTATATCGAAGTGTTTTTGGTTTTGTTTTCTTTTACTGTTTGCATTGTGTATAAACATACAGAAAAATAAAAACTCACTCAAAGTAATATTTTAATATTCATTGTTCATTTGTCGAGAATCCAGTATAAATCATAATGAAAAAGTGACATTTTATATAAGAAAAATATTGTCTGTATTCTAGTATAGTGACATTCTTGAAATAGAAATATCGGTTACCTTTAATATCTTTAATATTTCTACATTTTTTATTCTTTTAAACAGTTCGTTTTCCTGAAGATCTTGAGAATGACATTAGGACTTTCTTTCCTGAATATACCCATCAACTCTTTGGGGATGAGTAAGTAACTTAGTAATATATTTGTCAGATTAGTATGGCAAAAAAAATTTTTTTTTTTTTTAAGAGTTAGAAATCACTTTATTTTCTTTACTCTTGTTTTTCATGTTATTTATTTTAAAATATATGTTAGAATGGCATTTTTGACATTGAGACACCAATTTACTATCATTCCTTTAGCGCTATAGATGCAGTATCTCATTTAATTCTCACCACAGTCTTAGCAATGGTATTTGTTAAACTGCACATTGGTGGAATTGGATGGTTGCCAAAGGACATATGAATGGCAGAAGATTAGGTTCAGGCAATCTGACTGCAGAGCCCATATTCCTAACTACTACTTTTTTCTTCCTATCACTTTGCTATACTTTTCTAGTACACTCTTACTAGTACACTTCTAATACACTCGCCTAAAGCTGGAAAGCTCAAGTTGTTATTAGCTGATAAGTAAATAAGCAGTTAAGGGAAATTTATTTTTAAAAGCAACTTTAAATATGTGTCCTGGGATATTCAGTACAATTCTTTAATTTTCTATACCTTTATTAACATTAGAATAGTTACCTTTTTCTCTAACTTCTGATTTTGAAAAACTTCCAAGTTTGCAAGAATAGTATTTGATATAGCATTTATCTAGATTCACTAATTGTTAACATTTGGCTATATTTGCTTTAATCATTCTCTTATATAAATATATTGATATGTTTCTGTTGAACCATTTGAGGGTAAGTTACAGATATATCTCGATTCTTCCTAGAATTCTCCTAAATTCTTTAGTATGTATTTCCTAAAAATAAGGACATTTATTAGTGGTCGTCAAGACTTAGGAAATTGGTACTATTTTCTAATATACAGCCCACATTTCAGATTTTGCCAGTTGATTTTCAGTGATTCTTTGTAACAACTTTTCCCCATCTTGGATCCAATCTGGAATCACATATTGCATTTAGTCATTGGATCTTTTTAGTCTCTCTTCATCTGAAACAGTTCCTTACCCTTTCTTTTTTTCTTGTGACATTTGGCTAGTTTTGTAAACCTTCGTTTTGGGTTAGTTTGTTTCTTCATGATTAAATTTATATAATACATATTTTTGCAGTACTATGACAGAAGTTTTCTGTGTCCTCAGTGTATCATATCAGAAAGTCCTTGATATCAAGAAAATGAGACAGATAATAACTTGTTGGTGAAGTTAACTTGGATCACTTAGTTTAGAGGTGTCTGCCAGGGTTTCTACACTATAAGGTTAATGTTTTCCCCTTTGTTATTTATATGT